TTGTGGCGCCTTAAAATGGAAGGAAGAGTCAAAAGGTATGTGTTGCAAAGAGGGAAAAGTCCAGCTTCCATCTCTTAAAACATTACCAGATCCTCTTTTAAGTCTTTTAAATGGTGATCACCCAGACCATACACATTTTATGGGGCTTACCAGAAAATATAATAATTGTTTTCAAATGACTTCATTTGGTGCGACAAAAGTTATTAATGAAGGTTATATGCCCACATTTAAAGTACAGGGGCAAGTTTACCACTTAGTTGGTAGCGTTTTGCCAGCTTCTAAAGAAGAAGCTCAGTTTCTCCAAATTTATTTTATTGGTGAGGACAATGTAGAAGCCGATTTCAGGTGTAAAAACAGTCCTGGAGTTAAAAATGCGTTAGTTAAATCACTACAGTTGATGCTGCATGAAAGTAATCCATATGTTAAGGATTTTAAAACTGCTCTTAAAAGAGTTCCGAAGAATTGTAGCCAATTTAAAATGGTTATTCACGCCAATAAAAAGCCTGTTAGGGCTCATAGAGGTCGTTATAACGCACCCCAAGCAAATGAGGTCGCTTTGGTATTAGTTGACCAACAATTTGAAAAAAGGGACATTATTATTGAGGGTTATAATAATCAGTTAAAAAGAATCAGTGAACTTCACCGATCTTATGACGCCCTACAATATCCATTAATGTTTTGTCATGGAGAAGATGGTTACACTATAGATATACCCAAAATTGACCCCGTTTCAAAAAAAAACGTTAAGAAAACAGTCTCAGCGTTAGATTTTTACAGTTTCCGAATAATGCTTAGAGAAAATGTATGGAATCACCTGCACTATTTTAGAGCTCTCTTTAGTCAATTTTTGGTTGATATGTATGCTAAAATAGAAACAGAAAGCTGAGAGCAGAAAGCTACATACATCTTCAAGATGCTATAGGTAGGAATGATGTAGATTTAGCACAGTTTGGACAGATGGTAATTTTACCTTCATCCTTTACTGGCTCGCCACGGTACATGCACGAAAAAACTCAAGATGCCATGACATATGTTCGTTATTATGGTCGTCCTGATCTTTTTATTACATTTACCTGTAATCCTAAATGGAAAGAAATTAAAAGTGCACTATTTTTAGGGCAGAAGCCTCACGATCGGCATGATATCATTGCTCGAGTCTTTCATTTAAAGGTCAAAGCTATAATGTCTTTAATTAATAGTCATAGTTTGTTTGGGGAAGTGCAATGTTTTATGTATACGATAGAGTGGCAGAAACGTGGTCTCCCACATGCACATATACTGATTTGGTTAAAGTCTAAGATCACGCCTCAACAAATTGATTCAATTATATGTGCAGAAATTCCAGATTCTGAAAAGGATCCTCTCCTATATGAGATTGTTAAGGCTAATATGATTCATGGACCATGTGGCCGCTTAAACCTAAAATCGCCCTGTATGAACGAGGGTAATTGTTCCAAAAAGTTTCCGCGATCGTTGCTTAATGAAACTGTTACTGGAAAAGATGGTTACCCTAAATATAGGCGAAGAGCACCTGAAGATGGTGGCTTCACCATGGAAATTAATGGAAACATAATTGACAATAGGTGGGTAGTGCCCTATAATTGTGTTCTCCTGCGGACCTTTGAGGCTCATATTAATGTAGAGCTCTGTAGTTCAATTAAATCCATTAAATACGTTTGCAAATACATCAATAAGGGCAGTGATCAAGCTACATTTACTGTGGAAAGCCCTACTAATGAGGTTCAACTATATCAAAGCGGTCGATATATCAGTAGTTCTGAAGCAGTGTGGAGAATTCTTGCATTCCCCATACATGAAAGGTATCCGGCAATTGTACATTTGGCCGTGCATTTGGAAAATGGTCAACGGATATATTTTGATCCTAATAATCAAAATCAATTAGTTAACCAGTTAACCAACGCTTCAATAACGACACTGACTGGGTTTTTCGAACTTTGTAAAACGGATTCATTTGCAAGGACCCTTCTTTATGTTGAAGTACCTTCCTATTTCACGTGGAACAATAAAAAGTTCCAAAGGAGAAAGAGAGGTAATATTGTACCTGGTTTTCCTGGAATTAGAATGGATGATGTTTTAGGTCGAGTGTATACCATACACCCTAAAAATAGTGAATGCTATTACCTAAGACTACTTCTTCATGAAGTGCGGGGACCAACCTCATTCTTATTTCTTAAAACAGTTAATAACATTACGTATGCTACATTTCAATTGGCATGTAAGGCTTTGGGCTTACTAGAAGATGACACACACTGGGAATATACCCTAAAGGAAGCAGCTTTATGTAAATCGCCAATTCAATTACGTGATTTATTTGCGGTGATGTTAGTAAATTGTCAAATGGCTGATGCCGCACATCTTTGGGAAATGTATAAAGAAAGCTTTTCAGAAGACATTTTGTACGAGTTTTCTCTAATAGTGGCAGAAGTCAATCAAGATCTACTGGATAGAGTGTTTAATAAATGTCTTATTTTAATCGAAGATATAACACTGTCCATTGGAGGTACGTGTCTATTAGACTATGGTTTGCCCGAACCGATTAGAGTTAGTAGACCACTTCAAAATAGGGAATATTTAAACGAAATAAATTACAATATTAATGAATTCGAATTAAGTAAAGACGAAAATTCCCTTAACGATGAGCAAAGAATGGCATTTCAAAAAATATTACAAAGTGTTCAAAATGAAAACGGTGAAATATTTTTTTTGGATGCCCCCGGTGGCACAGGCAAGACATTTTTATTGAATTTGTTGTTAGCAAAATTACGACATAATAATAATGTAGCATTGGCTGTTGCTTCTTCAGGTATAGCTGCTACGCTGTTAAATGGGGGACGCACAGCCCACTCTGTGTTTAAACTCCCATTGGATTTAATAAATGTAGAAACACCATGTTGCTCAATATCTAAACGGTGTAATATGGCATTGGTTTTTCAAGAATGTAGACTTATTGTTTGGGATGAATGCACAATGGCTCATAAGAGTGCTTTTGAAGCGTTGGATAGAATGTTGAAAGATATTCGTGGTAATGATTTTCTAATGGGAGGTATGACGGTTTTATTATCTGGAGATTTTCGTCAAACGCTTCCTGTAGTTCCTCGAGGAACAAGGGCAGATGAAATACAAGCCTGCTTAAAATCATCATTTCTTTGGCCTACTATTCAAAAATTGTGCCTAACAAAAAACATGCGTGTGCATTTAAAAGGCGATACAACTGCTGGAATTTTTGCACATACATTATTGAGAATTGGAGACGGTCTTTTTCCAACTGTCGAAGGAAAAATAATTATTCCTTCAGGTTTAGGAACTGTTGTAACTTCCCTTGAGGAGCTCACATCAAATATATTTCCGGAAATTTCAAAAATCTCAACCAAATCATTAGATTGGTTTTCGGAGAGAGCAATATTAACTGCTAGAAATGATAGAGCTGTGGTAATAAATAACATACTGTTAAAATCATTTGATGGTATTGAAGTTACGTATAAGTCTATTGATTCAGTCACTGAAGTTGATGAAGCAGTTCATTTTCCGGTTGAATTTCTCAACCAACAAAATCCACCTGGACTTCCCTTACACATTCTAAAGCTTAAGATTGGTGCACCAATTATGCTGTTGAGAAATTTAAGACCTCCAAAACTATGTAACGGTACAAGATTGCAAGTAAAAGCTCTTCATAACAATTTAATCGAAGCTGTGGTTTTTACTGGCTGTGCCAAAGGAGAAATTGTTTTTATACCACGAATACCCCTAATACCATCAAATCTACCGTTTCAGTTTAAAAGACTTCAGTTCCCTGTAAAAGTTTGCTTTGCAATAACGATAAATAAATCGCAAGGTCAGACCTTAAAACTAGCTGGACTAGATTTAAGGGACGATTGCTTCTCTCATGGTCAGTTTTATGTGGCCTGTTCAAGAGTTAGCTCCTCTGAGTCTTTAATTATTTTAGCGCCAGAAGGAAAATCAAAAAATATCGTTTATAGAGAAGTCTTGCAAAAATGTTAAACATTTCTAATTAAAATGCACTGTGGAATAGGCCTCATGGGGAAACCACAAAAAAAAAAAACGCCAAAACCTCTACCTCTATGGTGGTGTGGAAATGTGGAATGGTTTTAGTTTAAATAAAGTAGCAAATAAAAAGTTAATCAAAAGTATAGTTTTAAGCGATATAGTTAGGAAATTGCTAATCTTAATTTCCGCAGGCGAAGCTGCGGGCTACCTTGCTAGTTATTAATATAATCTTTTTCTTTTGCATACTTCTTTACGTCCCATTAAATGACCGTTTGCTGTAATTAATTCAAGTGAAACAGAAAAAGATTGAAAATAAGAACTATCATGTTAGGCATCGTGAGGAAATTCAAACTGCAAAAAAAACACAACAAAAGAATACAAAGAGTGCACATTCGTGGAAAGTAAAACATAATTCCGCTTTTTTATACGATTTAAATCTGGCATACAATTCTGATAAATCAGTTGATATTGGAATAATGAATAAGAGATGCTCATTTTGTGGCGCCTTAAAATGGAAGGAAGAGTCAAAAGGTATGTGTTGCAAAGAGGGAAAAGTCCAGCTTCCATCTCTTAAAACATTACCAGATCCTCTTTTAAGTCTTTTAAATGGTGATCACCCAGACCATACACATTTTATGGGGCTTACCAGAAAATATAATAATTGTTTTCAAATGACTTCATTTGGTGCGACAAAAGTTATTAATGAAGGTTATATGCCCACATTTAAAGTACAGGGGCAAGTTTACCACTTAGTTGGTAGCGTTTTGCCAGCTTCTAAAGAAGAAGCTCAGTTTCTCCAAATTTATTTTATTGGTGAGGACAATGTAGAAGCCGATTTCAGGTGTAAAAACAGTCCTGGAGTTAAAAATGCGTTAGTTAAATCACTACAGTTGATGCTGCATGAAAGTAATCCATATGTTAAGGATTTTAAAACTGCTCTTAAAAGAGTTCCGAAGAATTGTAGACAATTTAAAATGGTTATTCACGCCAATAAAAAGCCTGTTAGGGCTCATAGAGGTCGTTATAACGCACCCCAAGCAAATGAGGTCGCTTTGGTATTAGTTGACCAACAATTTGAAAAAAGGGACATTATTATTGAGGGTTATAATAATCAGTTAAAAAGAATCAGTGAACTTCACCGATCTTATGACGCCCTACAATATCCATTAATGTTTTGTCATGGAGAAGATGGTTACACTATAGATATACCCAAAATTGACCCCGTTTCAAAAAAAAAACGTTAAGAAAACAGTCTCAGCGTTAGATTTTTACAGTTTCCGAATAATGCTTAGAGAAAATGTATGGAATCACCTGCACTATTTTAGAGCTCTCTTTAGTCAATTTTTGGTTGATATGTATGCTAAAATAGAAACAGAAAGGCTTAATTTTATTCGGCTAAATCAAAAAAAGCTGAGAGCAGAAAGCTACATACATCTTCAAGATGCTATAGGTAGGAATGATGTAGATTTAGCACAGTTTGGACAGATGGTAATTTTACCTTCATCCTTTACTGGCTCGCCACGGTACATGCACGAAAAAACTCAAGATGCCATGACATATGTTCGTTATTATGGTCGTCCTGATCTTTTTATTACATTTACCTGTAATCCTAAATGGAAAGAAATTAAAAGTGCACTATTTTTAGGGCAGAAGCCTCACGATCGGCATGATATCATTGCTCGAGTCTTTCATTTAAAGGTCAAAGCTATAATGTCTTTAATTAATAGTCATAGTTTGTTTGGGGAAGTGCAATGTTTTATGTATACGATAGAGTGGCAGAAACGTGGTCTCCCACATGCACATATACTGATTTGGTTAAAGTCTAAGATCACGCCTCAACAAATTGATTCAATTATATGTGCAGAAATTCCAGATTCTGAAAAGGATCCTCTCCTATATGAGATTGTTAAGGCTAATATGATTCATGGACCATGTGGCCGCTTAAACCTAAAATCGCCCTGTATGAACGAGGGTAATTGTTCCAAAAAGTTTCCGCGATCGTTGCTTAATGAAACTGTTACTGGAAAAGATGGTTACCCTAAATATAGGCGAAGAGCACCTGAAGATGGTGGCTTCACCATGGAAATTAATGGAAACATAATTGACAATAGGTGGGTAGTGCCCTATAATTGTGTTCTCCTGCGGACCTTTGAGGCTCATATTAATGTAGAGCTCTGTAGTTCAATTAAATCCATTAAATACGTTTGCAAATACATCAATAAGGGCAGTGATCAAGCTACATTTACTGTGGAAAGCCCTACTAATGAGGTTCAACTATATCAAAGCGGTCGATATATCAGTAGTTCTGAAGCAGTGTGGAGAATTCTTGCATTCCCCATACATGAAAGGTATCCGGCAATTGTACATTTGGCCGTGCATTTGGAAAATGGTCAACGGATATATTTTGATCCTAATAATCAAAATCAATTAGTTAACCAGTTAACCAACGCTTCAATAACGACACTGACTGGGTTTTTCGAACTTTGTAAAACGGATTCATTTGCAAGGACCCTTCTTTATGTTGAAGTACCTTCCTATTTCACGTGGAACAATAAAAAGTTCCAAAGGAGAAAGAGAGGTAATATTGTACCTGGTTTTCCTGGAATTAGAATGGATGATGTTTTAGGTCGAGTGTATACCATACACCCTAAAAATAGTGAATGCTATTACCTAAGACTACTTCTTCATGAAGTGCGGGGACCAACCTCATTCTTATTTCTTAAAACAGTTAATAACATTACGTATGCTACATTTCAATTGGCATGTAAGGCTTTGGGCTTACTAGAAGATGACACACACTGGGAATATACCCTAAAGGAAGCAGCTTTATGTAAATCGCCAATTCAATTACGTGATTTATTTGCGGTGATGTTAGTAAATTGTCAAATGGCTGATGCCGCACATCTTTGGGAAATGTATAAAGAAAGCTTTTCAGAAGACATTTTGTACGAGTTTTCTCTAATAGTGGCAGAAGTCAATCAAGATCTACTGGATAGAGTGTTTAATAAATGTCTTATTTTAGTCGAAGATATAACACTGTCCATTGGAGGTACGTGTCTATTAGACTATGGTTTGCCCGAACCGATTAGAGTTAGTAGACCACTTCAAAATAGGGAATATTTAAACGAAATAAATTACAATATTAATGAATTCGAATTAAGTAAAGACGAAAATTCCCTTAACGATGAGCAAAGAATGGCATTTCAAAAAATATTACAAAGTGTTCAAAATGAAAACGGTGAAATATTTTTTTGGATGCCCCCGGTGGCACAGGCAAGACATTTTTATTGAATTTGTTGTTAGCAAAATTACGACATAATAATAATGTAGCATTGGCTGTTGCTTCTTCAGGTATAGCTGCTACGCTGTTAAATGGGGGACGCACAGCCCACTCTGTGTTTAAACTCCCATTGGATTTAATAAATGTAGAAACACCATGTTGCTCAATATCTAAACGGTGTAATATGGCATTGGTTTTTCAAGAATGTAGACTTATTGTTTGGGATGAATGCACAATGGCTCATAAGAGTGCTTTTGAAGCGTTGGATAGAATGTTGAAAGATATTCGTGGTAATGATTTTCTAATGGGAGGTATGACGGTTTTATTATCTGGAGATTTTCGTCAAACGCTTCCTGTAGTTCCTCGAGGAACAAGGGCAGATGAAATACAAGCCTGCTTAAAATCATCATTTCTTTGGCCTACTATTCAAAAATTGTGCCTAACAAAAAACATGCGTGTGCATTTAAAAGGCGATACAACTGCTGGAATTTTTGCACATACATTATTGAGAATTGGAGACGGTCTTTTTCCAACTGTCGAAGGAAAAATAATTATTCCTTCAGGTTTAGGAACTGTTGTAACTTCCCTTGAGGAGCTCACATCAAATATATTTCCGGAAATTTCAAAAATCTCAACCAAATCATTAGATTGGTTTTCGGAGAGAGCAATATTAACTGCTAGAAATGATAGAGCTGTGGTAATAAATAACATACTGTTAAAATCATTTGATGGTATTGAAGTTACGTATAAGTCTATTGATTCAGTCACTGAAGTTGATGAAGCAGTTCATTTTCCGGTTGAATTTCTCAACCAACAAAATCCACCTGGACTTCCCTTACACATTCTAAAGCTTAAGATTGGTGCACCAATTATGCTGTTGAGAAATTTAAGACCTCCAAAACTATGTAACGGTACAAGATTGCAAGTAAAAGCTCTTCATAACAATTTAATCGAAGCTGTGGTTTTTACTGGCTGTGCCAAAGGAGAAATTGTTTTTATACCACGAATACCCCTAATACCATCAAATCTACCGTTTCAGTTTAAAAGACTTCAGTTCCCTGTAAAAGTTTGCTTTGCAATAACGATAAATAAATCGCAAGGTCAGACCTTAAAACTAGCTGGACTAGATTTAAGGGACGATTGCTTCTCTCATGGTCAGTTTTATGTGGCCTGTTCAAGAGTTAGCTCCTCTGAGTCTTTAATTATTTTAGCGCCAGAAGGAAAATCAAAAAATATCGTTTATAGAGAAGTCTTGCAAAAATGTTAAACATTTCTAATTAAAATGCACTGTGGAATAGGCCTCATGGGGAAACCACAAAAAAAAAAAAGCGCCAAAACCTCTACCTCTATGGTGGTGTGGAAATGTGGAATGGTTTTAGTTTAAATAAAGTAGCAAATAAAAAAGTTAATCAAAAGTATAGTTTTAAGCGATATAGTTAGGAAATTGCTAATCTTAATTTCCGCAGGCGAAGCTGCTAGCTTGCTAGTTATTAATATAATCTTTTTCTTTTGCATACTTCTTTACGTCCCATTAAATGACCGTTTGCTGTAATTAATTCAAGTGAAACAGAAAAAGATTGAAAATAAGAACTATCATGTTAGGCATCGTGAGAAAATTCAAACTGCAAAAAAAAACACAACAAAAGAATACAAAGAGTGCACATTCGTGGAAAGTAAAACATAATTCCGCTTTTTTATACGATTTAAATCTGGCATGCAATTCTGATAAATCAGTTGATATTGGAATAATGAATAAGAGATGCTCATTTTGTGGCGCCTTAAAATGGAAGGAAGAGTCAAAAGGTATGTGTTGCAAAGAGGGAAAAGTCCAGCTTCCATCTCTTAAAACATTACCAGATCCTCTTTTAAGTCTTTTAAATGGTGATCACCCAGACCATACACATTTTATGGGGCTTACCAGAAAATATAATAATTGTTTTCAAATGACTTCATTTGGTGCGACAAAAGTTATTAATGAAGGTTATATGCCCACATTTAAAGTACAGGGGCAAGTTTACCACTTAGTTGGTATCGTTTTGCCAGCTTCTAAAGAAGAAGCTCAGTTTCTCCAAATTTATTTTATTGGTGAGGACAATGTAGAAGCCGATTTCAGGTGTAAAAACAGTCCTGGAGTTAAAAATGCGTTAGTTAAATCACTACAGTTGATGCTGCATGAAAGTAATCCATATGTTAAGGATTTTAAAACTGCTCTTAAAAGAGTTCCGAAGAATTGTAGCCAATTTAAAATGGTTATTCACGCCAATAAAAAGCCTGTTAGGGCTCATAGAGGTCGTTATAACGCACCCCAAGCAAATGAGGTCGCTTTGGTATTAGTTGACCAACAATTTGAAAAAAGGGACATTATTATTGAGGGTTATAATAATCAGTTAAAAAGAATCAGTGAACTTCACCGATCTTATGACGCCCTACAATATCCATTAATGTTTTGTCATGGAGAAGATGGTTACACTATAGATATACCCAAAATTGACCCCGTTTCAAAAAAAAACGTTAAGAAAACAGTCTCAGCGTTAGATTTTTACAGTTTCCGAATAATGCTTAGAGAAAATGTATGGAATCACCTGCACTATTTTAGAGCTCTCTTTAGTCAATTTTTGGTTGATATGTATGCTAAAATAGAAACAGAAAGGCTTAATTTTATTCGGCTAAATCATACATCAGAAAGCTACATACATCTTCAAGATGCTATAGGTAGGAATGATGTAGATTTAGCACAGTTTGGACAGATGGTAATTTTACCTTCATCCTTTACTGGCTCGCCACGGTACATGCACGAAAAAACTCAAGATGCCATGACATATGTTCGTTATTATGGTCGTCCTGATCTTTTTATTACATTTACCTGTAATCCTAAATGGAAAGAAATTAAAAGTGCACTATTTTTAGGGCAGAAGCCTCACGATCGGCATGATATCATTGCTCGAGTCTTTCATTTAAAGGTCAAAGCTATAATGTCTTTAATTAATAGTCATAGTTTGTTTGGGGAAGTGCAATGCTTTATGTATACGATAGAGTGGCAGAAACGTGGTCTCCCACATGCACATATACTGATTTGGTTAAAGTCTAAGATCACGCCTCAACAAATTGATTCAATTATATGTGCAGAAATTCCAGATTCTGAAAAGGATCCTCTCCTATATGAGATTGTTAAGGCTAATATGATTCATGGACCATGTGGCCGCTTAAACCTAAAATCGCCCTGTATGAACGAGGGTAATTGTTCCAAAAAGTTTCCGCGATCGTTGCTTAATGAAACTGTTACTGGAAAAGATGGTTACCCTAAATATAGGCGAAGAGCACCTGAAGATGGTGGCTTCACCATGGAAATTAATGGAAACATAATTGACAATAGGTGGGTAGTGCCCTATAATTGTGTTCTCCTGCGGACCTTTGAGGCTCATATTAATGTAGAGCTCTGTAGTTCAATTAAATCCATTAAATACGTTTGCAAATACATCAATAAGGGCAGTGATCAAGCTACATTTACTGTGGAAAGCCCTACTAATGAGGTTCAACTATATCAAAACGGTCGATATATCAGTAGTTCTGAAGCAGTGTGGAGAATTCTTGCATTCCCCATACATGAAAGGTATCCGGCAATTGTACATTTGGCCGTGCATTTGGAAAATGGTCAACGGATATATTTTGATCCTAATAATCAAAATCAATTAGTTAACCAGTTAACCAACGCTTCAATAACGACACTGACTGGGTTTTTCGAACTTTGTAAAACGGATTCATTTGCAAGGACCCTTCTTTATGTTGAAGTACCTTCCTATTTCACGTGGAACAATAAAAAGTTCCAAAGGAGAAAGAGAGGTAATATTGTACCTGGTTTTCCTGGAATTAGAATGGATGATGTTTTAGGTCGAGTGTATACCATACACCCTAAAAATAGTGAATGCTATTACCTAAGACTACTTCTTCATGAAGTGCGGGGACCAACCTCATTCTTATTTCTTAAAACAGTTAATAACATTACGTATGCTACATTTCAATTGGCATGTAAGGCTTTGGGCTTACTAGAAGATGACACACACTGGGAATATACCCTAAAGGAAGCAGCTTTATGTAAATCGCCAATTCAATTACGTGATTTATTTGCGGTGATGTTAGTAAATTGTCAAATGGCTGATGCCGCACATCTTTGGGAAATGTATAAAGAAAGCTTTTCAGAAGACATTTTGTACGAGTTTTCTCTAATAGTGGCAGAAGTCAATCAAGATCTACTGGATAGAGTGTTTAATAAATGTCTTATTTTAATCGAAGATATAACACTGTCCATTGGAGGTACGTGTCTATTAGACTATGGTTTGCCCGAACCGATTAGAGTTAGTAGACCACTTCAAAATAGGGAATATTTAAACGAAATAAATTACAATATTAATGAATTCGAATTAAGTAAAGACGAAAATTCCCTTAACGATGAGCAAAGAATGGCATTTCAAAAAATATTACAAAGTGTTCAAAATGAAAACGGTGAAATATTTTTTTTGGATGCCCCCATTTTTATTGAATTTGTTGTTAGCAAAATTACGACATAATAATAATGTAGCATTGGCTGTTGCTTCTTCAGGTATAGCTGCTACGCTGTTAAATGGGGGACGCACAGCCCACTCTGTGTTTAAACTCCCATTGGATTTAATAAATGTAGAAACACCATGTTGCTCAATATCTAAACGGTGTAATATGGCATTGGTTTTTCAAGAATGTAGACTTATTGTTTGGGATGAATGCACAATGGCTCATAAGAGTGCTTTTGAAGCGTTGGATAGAATGTTGAAAGATATTCGTGGTAATGATTTTCTAATGGGAGGTATGACGGTTTTATTATCTGGATATTTTCGTCAAACGCTTCCTGTAATTCCTCGAGGAACAAGGGCAGATGAAATACAAGCCTGCTTAAAATCATCATTTCTTTGGCCTACTATTCAAAAATTGTGCCTAACAAAAAACATGCGTGTGCATTTAAAAGGCGATACAACTGCTGGAATTTTTGCACATACATTATTGAGAATTGGAGACGGTCTTTTTCCAACTGTCGAAGGAAAAATAATTATTCCTTCAGGTTTAGGAACTGTTGTAACTTCCCTTGAGGAGCTCACATCAAATATATTTCCGGAAATTTCAAAAATCTCAACCAAATCATTAGATTGGTTTTCGGAGAGAGCAATATTAACTGCTAGAAATGATAGAGCTGTGGTAATAAATAACATACTGTTAAAATCATTTGATGGTATTGAAGTTACGTATAAGTCTATTGATTCAGTCACTGAAGTTGATGAAGCAGTTCATTTTCCGGTTGAATTTCTCAACCAACAAAATCCACCTGGACTTCCCTTACACATTCTAAAGCTTAAGATTGGTGCACCAATTATGCTGTTGAGAAATTTTAGACCTCCAAAACTATGTAACGGTACAAGATTGCAAGTAAAAGCTCTTCATAACAATTTAATCGAAGCTGTGGTTTTTACTGGCTGTGCCAAAGGAGAAATTGTTTTTATACCACGAATACCCCTAATACCATCAAATCTACCGTTTCAGTTTAAAATACTTCAGTTCCCTGTAACGATAAATAAATCGCAAGGTCAGACCTTAAAACTAGCTGGACTAGATTTAAGGGACGATTGCTTCTCTCATGGTCAGTTTTATGTGGCCTGTTCAAGAGTTAGCTCCTCTGAGTCTTTAATTATTTTAGCGCCAGAAGGAAAATCAAAAAATATCGTTTATAGAGAAGTCTTGCAAAAATGTTAAACATTTCTAATTAAAATGCACTGTGGAATAGGCCTCATGGGGAAACCACAAAAAAAAAAAAAGCGCCAAAACCTCTACCTCTATGGTGGTGTGGAAATGTGGAATGGTTTTAGTTTAAATAAAGTAGCAAATAAAAAAGTTAATCAAAAGTATAGTTTTAAGCGATATAGTTAGGAAATTGCTAATCTTAATTTCCGCAGGCGAAGCTGCGGGCTACCTTGCTAGTATTTTATATAACTTGTAAAGTAATAATATTTGGTTTATTCATATAATATTTCGCTACTTACTAATTATATTTTATACATTTAGCCCAGGTAGAGAAAAAATTCCGACGTGATGACTGTAAGGAGTCTCATACACGAAAGCTCTTGGTAAAGAAAAATTTGAAAATGCCCAATCTATGTTTTGTTTTGTTTCGTTGTTGCAACTCCTTCCAAAAGCGCCGTAAAGTCTAGTTAATTTAGCTTCCTTTCCATTACGGCTTCACTGGTTGAGCGGCATATATTAAAGTCCCCCAAAATGAAGGATTTCTGTATAATAATACATATATGATTTGAAGGTAATTGTCGAAAAAAATAGGAAAGTTTTGATTTTTTTATGTATGTAGCAATTTTTTTTATTAAATGAATTATTATATTTTCTGAAAGTTTAGTTTGTTGACAATGTTTATGCAACAATTTGTGAAAACAAAATAGTTTTTAAGGGATGTTTCCCTAAAACGCCTTTGTTTGGAAGAGCCTTGCGGTGATAATTCCCCAGGACGAACGGGTCAACTAAAACCGTAAAAATAAAAATATTTCATTAGTTTAGAGTAATTCCCGGTACCTGAACGATCGTTTTAAAAAAAATTTTTGTGCATACGGAAACGTTCTATGCAAAAAATGAAGTTTTTGGTCGCTGGAATTCTTACAAAAGTATATATTTCGGCGAAATACAAATTTTTACATAAAAAATCGATCGTTCAAGTACACACAAAATTCATCACGAACATTAAAAAAAAAATTTGAAGAAAATCGGTTCAGTAGTTTTTCGCCAATCCATATCACCGCAAAGTCATTTTTGAAAAAACACCATTTCGAGATATTCGCGTTTAAAGTTTCAAGTTTGGGTTTAGGCGGGGACGAGGCGCGCGGCTAAGAGCGCTGTAACTTTATTTCTACTGCTCAAATCTCTATGAAAATTTGGGGAAATGTTCTCACAAAGTTGTTCTTCAAGATGAAGCAATAAAAAATGTTCGATTTTTTGACTTGACCATTACTCTTTGCTCAGGAAGCGATGTATTTATGAACTTGCTTCCGTTACTGGTTTCTGACAAATGTAGCCCTAAAATATTGTAAACAGCTTCCTGAGCTGATATTTCGGTTCTATTTATGAACTTACTATATTTCCAAGATTCTGGAGTTTCTCCTTTAAAGACCTATCGCGATATCCTCCTTCTGTCCATAGCTTATCTAAGCAATCTTGAAACTCCTCTATTTGATTTGTTGATGTAGTTTATGATATAGATACAACAACCGTACACGTCCAAAATGTATTGAATGTCCATGTTGGCTCGGTGAAGTTTTAGTATGTCTTGTCTTATTGTAATCATTAAGCATTCTATCCGAGTATTTTCTACCTACAAATATTTGCGGCTTCTTTAAAGTTGATCGAATAGCTAAAATATATTATTGGTAATAGACCTCTAGTATGTTGAGGATATTTTCAAATTTGTTTAAATGTTGAACTTCAAGTTCGGTAATGTTTCGTTTATCATCCAAAGGATCTTGCTTTTTGCCTATATGTAATTCTTTCGTCATAGGAATATGGATGTAGAATTTTTGTTTCCGGCATCGGTGGAAATGGCATATTAAAGCAACATTTTCCGTCTCGATTGAATTCCATTTTGCAAGTAGCGGTGTGCCTATGCAACTGATATCTAATGATGTCCTGCAAGTCAATATTATCTCCATTATAAGAAATGAATCGGTCAATAAAAGCTATTACTTCCTCTTGATTTTTTGGCGCATTTTGAAGCCAGTACATTCCATGAGAGTGTTGGGGCCTCCTATGTTTAAATTCAATTCTCCAGTAAAAATGAGTTAAATTAAATTCCTGGAAAATATTTGATTTAAATAATTTAATCAATTAACGTATGTTAGTCTATCTAATTAAGCGGGTCCGATCTAATCAATCTAGCTTTTTCGGAACTAGAAAGATTGCCCCATCTTCATCGGTAATGGTTCTGCTCCCCAAAATTTGACTTAAATTCACTAGAAGCTCATTCCAATTGGCCGAGACCGTTAAAAAGCGGGTAATCCAAATTGCCTTATCATAGCCAAAACCTTTTTCTTCTCAGCTTCCCAATGAGCTGGAGAGGATCGTAAGCCGTTCAAAAGGTGATATCCATCATTATGATGTATAAAGCCGTTCACAAATGTTTCATCCATTATATTTGAAGCGGTAACATGTCAGTTTGCAGACTTTTTCATTAAGCAAATTGAGAATGCGTCTTTGCTACGTGTAAGTTCAAAGCATTTATACATACATACAATTTTTGGAATTTTTGTACACCGTCGATCGTAAAACCGAATTTGAGACTTAACTTTGCGTCCGTACGTTGTTTTGCATTTAAAGATTTTATCACACAAAATTGTGGGAAAAGATAATTCCTCAGCATCTTTATCAGTTGTCATGTCTACCGGTCGACTACCCTCGCCGGGAGCCATCTCTATTATTTGATTTGGTTTTCTACTGGATCGATTTCTAATAAAGTTTCCTGTCCTCCAGGATTT